GATGCTAACACATTTCAAAGTAGAGGGTGATCCATATCAAGTGTAGCCTCAATTTAAGCAAATTAGATGACAAAAAAGAGACATTGATGTGAGTATAGTGATGAGACATGTCCCAGGTAACCAAAATTCCAGGACCCTTGTGTGTTCTTTTTGTCTTATAATTATACGTCATGTGGAACATTTGCATGTGCACTGCCTTGTTGATATTCTTGAAAAATGTTTCCAAACCAATGGATGCAAAAAGGACACATGATTCATATTTGATTAATAACTTCGGTTGTGTAATATGTTTTCTAGTTCCATTGTGATATATCAATACATAAACTTCATCTTAATATGCCTATGTGTTGACTCCTTATTATATGAACATAACGCAAAATATTGCAAATGTTTATTAAATAATCAGTCAAGTGATACAAATTATAAGTTATAACTATGATTTGTTGTAGGTAAATTGGCAGATTTTTAGCTGTGAACGTCTTAAAATGGGTAGCCTTACTAAGATAATTTGCAAAATATCTTCAGATTGTTTCTCTTTTCTATTTCGATTATTTTAATTTTTAATTAGGTAACTGTTGGTAGGGTGCAAAAAACTCGATCCTTCATTATGATTATTCATATGTACAACAATGCACAATGCCCCTTGACCTTATTGTCGGGAGATAATTTTTAAATACCTAAATCCCAATATAAAAAATCAATACATCCATCCCTAAATGCAGTCCAAATCCCAAACATGCATCTTCTACAAGATTAGGAAGTTGACGAATTTGTCATAATTGCGACTACAAATTAATGCAGCTTTCCTTGTTAGTTGAGAAACTTAGAGGCTCGGGATATTGGTGGCCCCGAAGGTGCTAACTGTGATTCAATTTAAAAATTGGTGGCTAGAGGGTGACTGGTGAAGGAAGTAGAGAAATCACTGAGGCTTGAGATAGACGATTATTATGGATTATGGTTTATTACTCGTAAGCTTGTAAGGGAATGAGAGAAATTATTAAACGAGGAGAAACACTCAACAAACAAAAATAATAAATAAATATGTAATCAACAAAATTGAACAAATGAATATATGATTAGTAGCTAATTAAGAGGGTGTTTGGCTAAGCTTATTATTATTTTTTTTTTTTTACTTTTTATTTTATATCTTATTAGTTTATAGCGGTTTCAGAACAAAGTTTTTAAAAAAAAAGTGTTTGGATTAGCTTATTCGATGTCAAAACGTTATAAGTTGATACATCATTTTCACTATTTGGCAAAATGACCAAAAAATACTTCCTAGAGATGTGGACAACTATAAGTTATAAAGAGTTTTGATAAGTTATGGGTTACTAACTTATCAAAAACGGGTTATCTTGAGTTTCACATCGCCATAAGTTTTTTTAAAAAAACAGTCTATTCAAAAACTAATTTTAACTTATACTGATGTGGAATCAATATTAAATAAATAAAATAAAATAAAAAATATATATAAAAAAAAAAAAAAAAAAAAAAAAAAAAAAAAAAAAAACACTTATTTGCTTAGCCAAACACCCTCTAAAATAAGATAAATAAGATGGAGGCGGAGTGATTTACATTAAAAGCTATATATAAACAAATGAATATATAATCAATATCTAGTTAAAATAAACTAAATAGAATGGAGGTGGTAGAATCTAATTTAGACGGGACACTTAATTTTAATGGTAATAATCAATGTTTTAAAAAGCCCGTCATAATTCTGTCATGGATCAAGGTTTGTACTTCCTATCATGTTTTGATAAAGTGACGTCTTAACTCAAATATACATATATATATATATATATATATATATATATATATATATATATATATATATATATATATATATATATATATATATATATATATATATATATATATATATGGAAAAGTGAATATACCCTTAACGGTATATAAGCTGAGGTACCCAAACTCACTATACTACGTTGTTTTGTATCATATAATACGTTCTAATTATCCAATGTTTTTATAATTTAATTTCTAACTTGATTTACTTCCAATTTTTTTATAATTTACACATTTATCTTCCTCTTACATAATTTCCATTTTCAACTACAATATATATAACCTAGTAGGTGTTCGGCAAAAAGATGTGATGTAAGAGAATGGTAATAGTGAAATGTCGAATATCTTGAAAGAAATTCAAGTTAGGGTTGTAGTTTAACAATATTATAATGAATATATCAAACAAAACGACGTATTATGGTGAGTTTAGGTACCTAAGCTTATATACCCTTAAGGGTATATTTACTTTTCCCATATATATATATATATATATATATATATATATATATATATATATATATATATATATATATATATATATATATATATATATATATATATATATATATATATATATATATATATATATATCATTTTAAATCACTTTTTACAAACAATGTGGCTTGCCACAACTAAATAAAGCTTAAAGCTTAATATTACCGTCATACCGGGCCTTAGACTATTTAAAACTTTGATAATAATAATCAAATCTTCATTGTTTTCTATATATAATAATTGTTTTTTATAATTATTGGGAGGGACTGAGATTATTAATTATTTGTTATGGGCTTAATGGCACTCATGGGCTCATTTTATTTTTAACTTTGCAAAAATTTGATTAGAGATTATGAGGGAGAACATCTTGTGGCCCTCTATTGTCTCGGCCTCTGAAATTATCATATTCTTTCAAAAGTGGTACTAAGTACTAACCGACAAATATACAATTACTTTATACATTCTAATAAATATCCTCACTATTTATAATGAATAATCATGCTATTAAATCAACACTTTTTATTGCAATAAGAAAACTTAAAACATGAGATTTAAGGAGACATAAATTTCAAGTTAAAAGAATTTGTCGTTTACGATAATTTATAAATGAAATGTTGTGTTTAAGAGAGGTTTGAGATTGTATGGTGGTTTTCCGAAGAAACTGTTCGAGTGAAAATTTTGAAATCTAGTGCGAGTTTTTCATTGTTTTCAACTTGTGTCTGGTTGAAAATAAATTTTCAAAAACTAAAGTTCTGGGGGTAGGGACGGGCCATTCAGATCCGACGGAGTGCTCGAGGGAAGGCCTACGGTACTCTTTCCCGCTCACTGGAACACTGCACCAGGACTGCGGGAATGGTGATATCGGCCGGCGATTTTTGTTTGTTTGTTTTTTTTTTCATTCTAACCATTAAAAACGGTAATATATAAAAAAATTAACTTTTTTTTACTCAAGGGCTAGATATAGGAGAATGAATTTTTACTTTTTTTTTAACCCTTTACAACATCTATATATATGCGCACACTTTAACCTTCAAACTCACACCTCCTTCTATCAATTTCTCTCTACTTTCTTCAAAAAAAAAAAAAAAACGAATCCCGACAATCAAAACTCAAACTTCGATAGAAGAAAAAAAACTACCCAATGTTTCGAGTTCAAGCACCCCAACTCGAAACATTTTCGCTATCGATTCATCTCAAGGGGTTTATCGTTAACAACTCGATGCTCTCATTCAATTTTCACTACAATTTCAGTACAAAAATGTTACACAATTTTACTCAATGCAAGTTTCAAATGTTAATCCAAATATGTTATCAAACTTCGTTGCTTCTCTTGATCAACTTTTGCTAAATCAACCACAAACTAAAATCTCACTCTTTCAATCGCAAAACCAAACCCAAACACAGCCCTCTCGATCTCAACCACAATACCAAAGCATCGATGAATCGGATGAAAAGATTGTACGGGAAACTCAACCCACAGCACCCCCCCCCCCCTAACGACACAAAAGAAAACAACAAGTGAAGGAGGGTGTCGCAAAACCGGGAAGACAGAAGCAGAAAGCATGGACTCATTAAGAAGAGATAATTATGGTAAAAGCTTTGGTTGACATTTCAGAGGATTTGGCGACTGGAAATGCACAACCAAGGGGAACATTTTTGGCTTCGAATTCTTGAGAGGTTGCGCAAGGAGATGGGAAAAGGTGACGAGTACCATACCAATCATCAATTGAATTCAAAGTTTTGAGAAATATCGAAGGTCGTTTAAAAAATGAATGGGTTGTACAACAACCTAAATCCCAACGGAAAAGCGGTCAAGAAGATAAAGAAATACTTCAGGAAGCTTTGCATTTTTTTCTAGAGGAAGTGGGAAAATCATTCAAGTTGCACGATTGTTGGAAACTATTAATTAAAAGTCCTATGTGGAAAAATACGAAAAAGACTTTATACTTGAAGTACAACAATCAAAGCGAACAAAAACGAGCTTTAGTGATTACACAACTTCCTCCGATGCTCGGATCAATCTAGATTTAAATGAGTAAGACGAATTCAAGTTCGAAGAAATTATCCGACCGATGGGTAAGGACTAAGCAAAAAGGAAGGGAAATGGGACTTCTTCGGGCGCATAGGATTTCATTATGGACGCAGACAAAATGTAGAAAATGACGGCGACATTTGATTGATATAATCTTAATTTCGTTGAATGTTTGGCGTTCCACAAAGAAAAAGAACCCAAAAAAAGGAGTGCGTGGACAAACAAGAAATGCAGGATATGAGGTTTTTGATGGAAAATACTGATCACATTTCAGAACCGACTCTCGAGCTAGTTTCGAAGAAAAATGAGCAGATTATACAAAAATATTTTCCATGATGCAAGCATTGAACGATGTGTTGCTGTAAAAATGGAAATGGAGACTTTTACATAACCCTAGTATTGTGTAGGTTATGTGGTTAAAACTATAGATTGCAAATTGAGTGGTTTTGAGCATTTATATAAAGGGGTCAAAGTATATAGTGTCCTGACGAAAAAGTTGGAAATATTAAGACAGGCACTTCCTCACTCTACCTTTTAAAGAAAAGGTGGGTAGTAGAGTAAGCATGTTACTTCGGGTTGGAATTTGATCAATATTGGGTTACGGGTTGGGTCGTGACTTGACACCTCTAAATATATCTTTCTTTTTGCATGATAATAGCAAACAAGATCATGTAATTCGTTTCATTCACCATATCACATAGAAGATCAAATAATAATTCATACATCATTTCTTCAAATTAGTTGATCACAAATGACTAATGGGTATAAAAAATAATAAAAATATAAAAACCAACAAAACATCTTTTGCTTCAAAAAGTTCAAGAACCACTACAATTCACAATAAAAGGTTTTGCAAAGTTGATGAACTCCGATGTTCTAATTCCAAGTTTTAGATCAATCTCTCCCCCACCCAACCAAAAAAAGTCCGGATTAAGCTTCGCAATAGCTTCATCTAAAATAACCTGACATTATTTCCCACAAAAATATTAGAATAAACTGCAAGAATGGTCCCTGTGTTTAGCAAAAATTTGTCAATTCAGTCCCTTGACAAGAAAAAGTTATAAGAAACGTCAATTTGTCAAGGAACTAAATCCACAACTTTTTGTTAAACACAGGACCATTCTTGCAGATTACTTAAAGAATTATATAATCATAACAAAAAAAAAAATATTTGATTTCTTATAAAATTTGCAAGTTGAAACCTTTGTTAAATAATTATACACAAAAAATATGAAGTTTTATAAAATTTCTGCTTACCGGAATGTCTGTTTTCATGCCAACACATGTTACTCCATTGTGTTCAAAACCAGTCAGATTGTGTGATATCTCTTCAGGAGCAAGTCTCACTGCAAGGGTAAAATGGTCATTTACTTACATGTGCTGTGTATTTGAGTATTCAATAGCTTTTCATTTTTGTCATTTACAGTGTCACTCTATAGCAGCTCTCCAATAAACAGTCATTTGTTATCCAACATCCCTTGTAGACAGAAGGGTAAAATTGTCATTTTTAACATAGCTGTTACTTACAGTTAAATCTCTTTTTGGGTATCTTGCCATTGTTGAGGGAATAAAGGAAATTTTTTACATTTTCAGCACTAAATCGAGCAGTGTACTACAATAAACAAATAAAAGATAAAGATAGATAGAGAGAATAGTAGTTTGTATTATTGCCAACAAAAAATATTATAAAAAATTATTAAAAAAATAATAAAAAAAACAGCACCTGAACAACAACAACATAGTATTTTGAATTTTGGGGGTCACTGCAATCAGTGATATTGGATGCAGCTTGAGTATTTACCTGCAGGGAGAAACAAGATTTTTTTTTAAAAATAAAAATTGTAACACTTTAAGAAGTGAAATTAGTGAAATGAGTTATATTCAAGTATTATTGATTAGAGCTCTAATTCAAGATCATGCATACTTTAAGAAGTTAAGGAATCAAAAGCAGAATCAAATCAGCATATAATCATATAATCTGTTGTTCAGAGTTTGGGATATTAAGATCAATTTCACCCTAAATGATCAAAACAGTAAACACGGATAATTACCATTTGAGGTCACAATAATCATCTTAGAGGCGCATACAAACTGCCCTTATGTTAGTGATTCTTGATTACAAACTGTATGTTCAAATACCAATATCAAGTAAACTTTTTTCTGCAAATTGTATGGCATTGAAAGTGAAAATTGGAAACCTATGGAGTATTTGATTTAAAAACATACGGTTTATTACATAACCAATCAGAAATTCTAGCATGAATCAGTTAAATTCACAAAAGAAAACGCATTCTACCTTCCGAAAACACCAAAAACACAATACGGTTAAAACAAACGGAATCGATTGAATTAGTAGTACCAGGACAATGCTTTTGCAGAGATGATGAATAGAGGCGGCGCCAAGAATGTCTCTTCGAGCTTCGAAGGACCAATCGTAGTAGTCGGAAGGAACGCGCTTGAATGAGAAGTCTTTGACGCCGGCGTCGAAAAGGAGGGCGGAGAGGCGTGCTTCGGTGGTCGTGGGGAGATCTTTATTGGGAGAATTGTTGGATGGAAGGATTGAGAGCTCGAGTTTTGCAATTCGATGGAGGATTTGGGTCTGTAGTCTCTCCAGCTCCGCTAACTCCGACATTTTTGTTTCGATAATCCGTTTGCTCGATTCTTTAGGTTAAAATTTGAAGGCTAAAAAACATATAACTTTTTTTTTTTTTTTTTTTTTCTTGAAAGTGTTAATAATTTTGGATTTTGTTCATAATTAGTCATTAATTTTTTTTTATCTATTTGTCATTAAACTATTGAAACTGTTCATATTTTACCTTTATGACCGGTTGTTACTGGTAATAAGGGTAAAATGGGAACATTTCAATAGTTCAATGACAAATAGATAATAATGAAAAAAAAAGTTTAGTGACTAAATGTAAACAAAATCGAAAGTTCGTTTCCTTCTAAAAAAAGTTCAATGACTAAATGTCAACAAACTTCATCTTGTATTATGTTTTAGCAAATTATTTATTTTTATTAAATTATAGTAATATTTTTTGAAGAAGAAATCTATAAAATAAAATAAAAAACAAAACAAAAACAAAACCCTGAAAAATATATTAAAAAAAATGAAAAACCGAAACCTGAAATAAATAACCAGTGGTTTGGTATTTTCCAAAATAAAAAATAAAAATTTCAATTAGATTTTGGTTTTACAAAAAAATGAACAATTCTCACTGATGTGAATTATAACAATACGAAATTAAAGAACACATAAAGAACACAATGATTTGGGTGTTTAAGAGATGCATTCGATTATGAAAGGTGTTTACAAAAAATGATCTAGATCTAAATCTACATAATTAACACACACTAACACACACACACTCTCTCTCTCTCTCATGTCAAAAGGCTAATTTACCACATGCAAGTGGATCTACAAAAATCAAACCATTTACAAAATCATACATGGATAATTTGTACCCAACATTCTCCCCCTCAAAGTTAGGAATGGATGACCTGCTTCAAATCTTCCAAATTCGAGCAACTTCACGAACCGAGCCTAAAACGTAACGCATGTAGAAATGAACATCAAATCTTCAATTTTTCCATGACTTTTCAATATGGGTTCTAGAATGTGAGACCATACAAACCGAGCATCGAAAGGTAATTAGGAGTTTCTCATTCTCTAAAAAATTACCCAAAATTTATGCATTTATGCACACTCCAAAAATCTTTAATAAGTCTAAACCCATCATGAACCGAAATCACTTCTAAATTTCCAATCGAATCATTTCATAAACTTCAAATACTCGATGTCACTTCGGTCTTCAAGTTCGCATAATATGAAAAATTCAACTTTCGAATTTTCATATCTAAATCTTTCCCCCTTTTTATAATCAAAAAATGATTATAAAACCAAAAAAGGAATGAGAAAGCACTCAATTCAGAATTTTTCTATCCAACACTCTCCCTTAACACATGAAATAAACATTTTGCTTCAATCCAGAAAATCCAAAAAAATCTTCAATTTTTAGCTTCGTTCACAGACCGCGTTTGACAAAAAATTGGGTAGAAAATGTCAATTTCAAAATTCTGTCAAAGGCGGTCCGTGAACGAAGCTAAAAATTGAAGATTTTTTGGATTTTCCGGATTAAAGCAAAATGTTTATGTCATATGCTAAGGGGGAGTTTTGGATAGAAAAAATCTGAATTGAGCGTTTTCTCATTCCCTTTCTGGTTTATAATCATTTTTCAATTATAAAAAATGTGAGAGATTTAGATATGGAAATTCGAAAGTTAAATTTTTGTAAAACCAAAATCCGATTGGAATTTTTGATTTTTGATTTTGGAAAATACCAAACCATTGGTTTTTTATTTCGGTTTCGGTTTTTCAGTTTTTTTAATATATTTTTCGGGGTTTTGTTTTTTTTTTATTTCATAGATTTCTTCATCAACAAATGTTGGTAGAATTTAACAAAAATAAATAATTTACTAAAACATAATACAAGAGGAAATTTGTTCACATTTAGTCATTGAAATTTTTTAGAGGGAAACGAGCTTTCGATTTTGTTCACATATAGTCATTAAACTTTTTTTCATTATCTATTTGCCACTGAACTATTGAAATTGTTCACATTTTACCCTTATGACCGGTAAAAACCGATCATAAGGGTAAAATATGAACAGTTTCAATAGTTTAGTGGTAAACAGATAACGAAAAAAAGTTTAGTGACTATATGTGAACAAAATCGAAAGTTCGATACCCTTACAAGTCATCATCCCTATTTTTTTCCTCATTATCAATTGTTAGGAAAAATCACAAAAATGGTGATATGGAAATGGTTTTTGTCGAAAAATAAATAAATAAATAAATAAAATAAGTGTTTTGTTATGGAGCTTTTAACTTTGAAAAAAAAAACTCTAAAAAAGAATATTTGCTTGTAGTAACTTTTTAATTTTTACTTTAAAGAAAATGTTTTGAATCTAAAAATTACTTTAAATAGGTTTTGGGGCCTTAACTTTTAGTTTTAAACTAGTTTTATACATTTAATGTCAAACATTTTTGTATAAATAAAAGTTACAACATTTAATTATTAACTATCAACTACCAGCTTCTAGCTATTATCTATCAGCTACTAACTTTTAGCTAGTTTTGTCAAACAAGCTTTTAATCTTTCAAATGTGGTGCCTAATTTCAAAACTTATGATGTATTTTGTCCCTCTTTTAAAAGTCACGTAACCCTTAGGTGCCCTACACATTAGGGTTATTTTTCTTTTTTAACTATGGTATATTGAAATGCAGTTATGGTATAAACTTTTCTCCTTGGTTGTTAATATCTATTCGCACAGCTTCTAATTTGACTTGTTTTTCATTGTCCTCTTGAATCTCATTTTACATTTCAATCAATTGGTTTCTTTCAACTTAATTTTCTTTGAATATCTCTAATAATACAATGAATATTACCAAGAAAATGGGATCATTCTCGCTAGTCATACAATCATTTTCTGGAAATAGCCTAACAAGGGACTCTAAAACTTGTGTTCATCTTCACCTTGAACAAAAACTATATAAACTCGAAGATCCTTCACTTTTCCGTCGCATACACCAAGAGTCTTTACAATATAACTAAAACAAAAAGGTAATATAAATTTTAAATCTTATAAACGGGGGTTGAAGATAAACTAAAAGCTTACCTTATAACCCTCATTTGAATAACATATATATATATATATATATATATATATATATATATATATATATATATATATATATATATATATATATATATATATATATAAAAGAACATTAAAGAAATAATCTTTTGTTTGAAGGAATTAGAATTCAATCCATTCCATTTAAGCTTAGTCTGTACGAGTATACAATCAAACCACTAACATTGTAATAACAGCTGCAAAACAAACTTTCAAGACCCATTCCATCTCAGAAATAATATAATTAAAAAAAAGAGTTGATTATAGCAACTAACTTTCTACTTATGGGGTATTTGTAGTTGGCTCATATAATCCATCCTGTGACATCCCCAAAATCTCGGCCAGAAAAGACCGATTTCATTTATGCTTTTTAAAATAATTTTCAGAGTAAATCCTTTTAATTTTAAAAGAGATGCGGAATTTGTTCCCAAAGACAAAACATGATAAAATAGATATTTATCAAAACATTTCATAAAGAAATATGATTTCATTTCAAAATCAAAAGTCGGGATGTCATGTTCCGATACAGGTCATAAAGCATAAACGATAACATTACAAGTTGTTCAACAAATATATACATATACAGACTTGTAAACAAAAACAACTTGATGTTCGCCCATCTTAAGCTCTTGCGCCACTTCCTGTAAAGTAAATCAACTGAGTGGGTCAGGCTTGGGAGCCTGGTGAGCATATAGGGTTTTCAACCCACAATAATTATATTTAATTTCAACCATCAACAATAAACCCGATTACCCATTCCCGTTATCCTCACCTTACGTTCCTAAAAATAACGTCTATTATAAGGAACTTATTTTAGGATTTTTCATCGGGACGGATATTACTGCAGAGGGGCTTCCTCAACAATAAGTATCCTAAAGGCAACCATGTGGGGGATAGAGTACACCGGTGAACACGTCGTTCACAACACCTACAGGTAATGAGCCTGCTAGTGTTCCACAGGACAGTCTAGAATAGTCCGTGGTCGTCATCCATACTCTGCTGAATGACTAGAATAACACCAATAACACCGAGGCCTCTCATCTGTTTATTACACACCAATTACCTACCCATGTTCTACCCAACATATTAGTAGATAAAAATATACGTTTTTATACATAGTTTAAAAACCTGTATAACATGTTTTATATTCCACATAACAGATGAGGCTTACACACATAACACGTATTTCATAGAGAATACATCAGATCTGTAAGATAGAAGAGAGTGAATATACACTCACACGTATAACAACCAAATATATACACATAACACGTATTTTATAGAAAATACTTCATAATATTGCGTTGGAATGAAAATAACTACACACTCACTTGATCAAAAGATGATCGGGCAGCACTACGGCTTGTAGAAGAGGTGTTTCTCCGTAGATCTGGAAGATCTTCACAAAACCGGGCTCCTCGCGGGCAGCGTTTCGGCTCGGGAATAACGCTCTTCGGGATCCTCGGGGCTTCGGATCTTACTTCGGGGCTCGGGAATATTACCGGGGCTTTGGGGTATAAACGGCACGCAAAACGAGGCAAAACTTAGAGAGAGGGAAGAGTTTGAACAAGAGAAAATGGCTGAATTCGAGTTCTATTTATAGGCTGCTGGGTCTGGGATTACGCGGGGCGTACTCAAATTACGCGGGGCGTACTCAGTACGCGGGGCGTACTCGGGTTACGCGGGGCGTACTTTGACGTCACTGCGTGCGTCAACTGGTGGCACTCGAGTATTGGTCAGACAAGTTGCATCCGACTGAGTACGCGGGGCGTACTCAAATTACGCGGGGCGTAATTGACTTGTCAAACTTCTAAATTGCGTAACTTTCGCATACGAGCTCCGTTTTCGACGTTCTTTATATCCACGCGAAGGTCAGACCATACTCTACAACTTTCATTTAGACTCCGTCGGCTAATTTTGATTTTATTTTTATTATTTATTTTTAGAAGGCCGGGACAGAA